AGATGGTCCAAAAGAGTTCTAAAAGAACTGTTTTACAATACATCAACGAAATATAGTTCTACAAAGAAGAACTGTTTTAAAAACAGTTGATGCATTACGGCGGACTACTCTTAAGGGGTGTCAACTTCGGCTAAATGAGAGGAGAGATGACGCTTGAAACAGTTCACTTTTTCTCGCCATTATAAATATCCAATGATTTTATGTTCTCATTTATCAAACGTTGAAACCAGATGAGTGGTCAGCGGAAATCCATCGTTTCTTTTAGTTTTTAAAACAGTTGTTTTTAAAACAATTTGGTTGGTGTTTTAGTTGTGAAACATTTTTTTCGGAACTATCAAATTATTTTGGCTATCCTAAAAAATATTTACGATATTTTAAGATGTAACGCTAGCACCTGAGGTCTTGAAACAGCGCATTTTGATGTTTCTAATTGTTATTTAAATTCTTTAGATTCGTCAGCAAAATATGAATACATTGATCATCTTAAATTGGAAAATTTGAAGTCAAAAAGCCAGAACCGAAGTGAGTGCGTTGATAACACTGAAATGCCTCAAGCACCAGATGTTTCAAAGATACGAGAACTGAAATATGACTATGCTACAGATGAAATACCGCGGCTCAACCCTACACCAGATGTTCCAACAGAACAAAAATTGAAATATGATTATGCTACGGATGAAATACTGCGGCTCAACTTAACAAAACCTGGAGCACCATTTTCTTCAAAAGAACAAGAGCCTAATGGCTATAAATAGTACTGACGGTCAAGCTAAACAGTCAGACACCTCATCTACCCTTAACAGTCCTTCAAAGGCTGCCTACCATACATTGGAGGAACCCAATCCTTCACCATACTATTCGACGATAGACAATGATGATGATAAAGCTCGGAACACTCTACTATCGTAGTGAAACTTTTCTTTATTTGTTTTATTTCTTCATCTGTCTAAAATTTAACTCACAGATGTAAAAAGCTGTAGCTACTTGACTTAATCGAACTATTGTCTAGCTTATCATGTAATGTAGAGCAAATACAACATAATGCAATGAATAGAACCCTCACTCGGAGGCTGGAAAAATACCTAATACTGCTAGTACATCAATGCATCAATACAAAACTTTTTCCTTTGTTATGGCATTGTGATATCTATGTTGAATTATAGTTTTAATACAAAACTCACCTTCGTTTGGTGAAAAAACTATTGAAACATGGACAGTTTTCTTTACAAAGAAAATTTGACTATTATAGTATTGAAAATTTTAAAATCAAACAATTACAACACCTTTGGAAGTTTTTTAGAACTTTATTTAATACAGAGAGAGACATGCGTGGCACTGCTGTAAGGTCAGTCTTGAAAATAACATTAATGATGATCTTCAATACATCGATCTGTACAATTTAACACATGGATAACCCGTCGATGAGATAATGACATGTTAACTCTTTAATGCAAAAATAAGTCAGTAGAAATATAATCAAATTTAAACTTTAGTAATGGACTTGTTTAAGTGTTAAATTGAAATAGAGATGCAATAAAGAAAAGACAAGGGCATTCTTTGTTGATGTGGAAAAGTATACCTGAGATCATAAAAATGGCCAAGGTTACACATAAATAGAAATTATGTATCAAGGAATACTATAACTTACTATTAAAGTATGAAGCTTAACTGAAGGTAGACACAAAGGCGAAAAAAAGAGTACACAAAGATAGACATAAACTTACTCTCAACTGTGACACATTAAGATAGAAAAAAGGTAGACACAAGGATAAACAATAACGTAGACACAAAGGTATACACAAAAGTAGACTTGAAGTGGACAATATTAAGTAATTATTCATAACCTAGGTTTCTCTCTAGGTTTTGCAAGGAATACCAACGGTCGAAACCACAAAATTCCCTGGAAATGGTCCGTATGACTAAATACGAAAATGTTCATTTATGTTTCTGACCTGTTGTCCAATACTTCATGTATGTCTGTATGTCCAAACATTAAAATACGAAACTGGTTTTGAAGTCACTAGTGAAAATTGTTTTGCTATGTAATTGAAACTTGTTTACAGTATTGTTTACCGACGGCTTTATTAAAAATATGTGTACACACACTGACAGTGGCTCAGAGACAGGAACACACAAGAAAGCGATATTTGCTTATGTCGTCACCATTCAACCGTTTTGAAATACAATGTGTGCTGATCAGTGCTGATGGACAGCTATTGGATATTGTAATAACTATTTCTGCTTTTCAAAGGTAAAACAAATCAATCGCCAGAGACGAGACATTTTGAATGATTAAATTTAGGCTGCGTTTATACTATACCGGATTCGCTGATCATGACATCTTCATTTGCTTTAGGTGTAACTGTTAGAGTAAAGCTTATTAAGCTGATAGATTTAGTCTATTTGATTGTGTTTCTGAAGTTGAACAATTTCACTGCTTTTAATATAAAGAATATTCAACTTGCTACGATAGCAATCCGGTATAGTATAAACGGGGCCTTAGATTCTCTTGCCCCAGTTCGTGAAAGGCCTTTCCTTCGTGCCACGCCCACGCGCACACAGATTGCTACACATATGGTTATAATAAAGCCTGTTTTCTACTAGCCACGTATCGTAACGTATCGTAGCAAAACGTAACATGGCGCATGCGTGAATTTAATAGTCAATAGGCACAAGCACGCATGCGCCATGTTACGTTTTGCTACAATACGTTATGATACGTATTGGAAAACAGGCTTAATATTAATGCTTTCAGTCAAACCTTTTAAGCTGAACAATTTACAACTGTAGACGATTAAAAGTCTTCAGTATACAATTGCAGATACGAAAGTACGATTTTCCAGTCCATTCGCATATTTGGCAAGAATCAAGACCAAGGCTTAAAAGGATAATGATAATGCGACTTATTTTAGCGGCGTGCTTCCTCGTCCTTCTATGCTGTCACAATGGCAGCGAAGCCATGTCATTCAAAATAGAGCGAAGTGGACTGGATACATTTAAGAATATAAAATGTACAGAACAGGGCAATTGTACAGAAAGATAATGTAAAATATATGGCGCCAAATGTGAAGAAAGCAAATATTGCACTCGATGTCAATGTGAACACGGTAGAGGAACGTTTCTTTCAACTAACGGTGACAACACTTACAAATGTACCAAAGATGAAGATATAATCCCAGAATCTGATAAGATGAACAGGGTAATAAATAATAAACTTAATCTACATGCAAATATCGTGGCTAATTGTTTAAGTGTTTTAAATGCAGTGATTTGTAAACAAAAACGTCAATATTTCTACTTTTGTTTAATGATAAATTGAGGACAGATGAATGAGATTTTGACAAATTTTGACAACTAACTATTCATTAAAAACCATTTCAAGTTTAAGTTCAATCATGATGCAGTGGAATAATAGCAAATGCAAGTAGGATAGGTGTATGTACGTTCAATAAAGCCAAAGTCAGTCTACTTTTGATTATGAAACTAATATCATTCGTCATTTTGGTCACATGACTTCCTAATATTTTGAAAATCGTAATTGAAATTGATAATTAATTAACAACATTATTTTAATTTCTGGAAAGTTCGCCTTCTTCAAGGCATCAACTCCCATTGTAGCATATCAAGCAACGGATGAAATTTTACCCAGAAAGAAACCTCGACGTTTTATTTTTGAAGATTTTCATCGTTAAGTTATATGATTAGTATTTCGTGCCGTTCTCTAATTGACACAAACTATTTGTTTGGCGGGTAGCACGCCTCCTTTTTTCTATGAACAAAAAATGCGACTGATTTATTTTGATAATGACAGATATTCTTGAAAAATTTGAAGTTTTGCACTTACTTACTCCTTCCTCGATTTAAAATTATATAAATATTAGCTATGACGTTGATTACATTTGATGCTCCTTGTTTGATAAGGTAATCTGTAATTTTTATTTGTCCGACCTATTAATCTCTTTTATATAGCATGTTTTCGTGCTATCTTGCCCAGCCCCCAGTTTCAAATCCGCTCCACAGTCACTAATGAGGTTAAATAAGAACGTTAAATTAGAGTTGAAACAGAAATTGTCATTTAACAATTTGAACAAATATTGACAAATTTATGTATAATTAAACACAATCAATGTTTTTCTTTGAACAGCTCTAAGAAACAAACGATTCCCACTCATGAAGCGAGTTGGGGAAAACGAACAAGAAATGTGCGTTGAATCTGAAGGAGAAAGCAAGCCACTAGCAGGGAAACCATGTTCTTCAGCAATGTCACAACAATGGGTATCGTTAAATAGAACTAAAGAAACTGTGTCCCTCATGAATGTTAAAACTTTACAATGCATGCATTTCATTCCTGATTGTGAAAAAGAACATGGAACAATTACTTTAGGACAATGCAAAAAAAATAGTGGCGACGAACAAGAAGTTATGAAGGAAAACGAAGACAAAGACGAAACGAACGTACTCAGAGTTTTTGCTAGAAATTGCAACGAAAAAATTAATGTGTTCATGAACAAACAGCCCCGTGGTCAAAAACGTTATTCGATAATCTATTCTCAAGATGGAGATGAAAATAAAGCTATAACTTGGCATTACAAAAATAACCTGAAGACAATAATCAAATACAAAGGTATGGGCAAAAGTTTGTACAATAAACATAAACAACGTAACGCATACGATAAACGTGACTATGATTCTATATGAATGCTTGTAAACTCAATAGAAACACTGGATCGACAATTAGGCGGTCGTTTTTGAAGCCAACTCTTTGTCAAAAAATTACAAAGCTGCAAATAATTAGTGTAAAGAAGTTAACATTATTTCACTCATGGATGGTTGTGCAACACCATCGACCGCTAGATACGTTAATGAAAATCGTCAAACATACTTTTCTATAGGGTGCTACCGTTTTTTTAACTCAACATTCATGTATTCTCTTGTGCGAAAGTCGTCCAATGAAATGCAAGAGCAAGCATCTATGCTCCGTTGTTTCAAGGAAACGCCACATGCCGAGTAAATTGGTCCGAATCGAAGCAGCTTAATGAAACAAAATGGAGGAAATTAACGACACCTAACGACGATAAATTGATTTACGTTGAAAATAATACAAGTGAAAATTTAAAAATTTTAAAGGTGAGACTGGCTGTACATTGATTGAACCGATTCGGGTGGACAGAAGAGAACTTCGCTCACCATAACTTATAGCTGGCCACATATTAGCAGCATACCTCAACGAATATTTGTTTTTCTTTTATTTTTGATAATCCAGGTGCAAAATAGCGCATTACAAAAGTACCAGAGTTATTTGATGAAACTAGTAGTTACCTGTGAAAGCGAAACAACCAAAGAAAATCTTGAAAGTGAATCTCATTGTTTGCTCTTAAAGTTTTCAACATTTTAGTGGTGAGTCACTCATGTTGTCACAAGCCGATCCAAAGTTACGTAAAATATATTATGGCTGCTAATATCAAAGTTAAAATACCTTAATAACAATGCCAAGGTTGTAACGAGTTGAATCTTACAAAAACTACAGGCTGTTGCAATATATTCTGTGCGATGCTGAATCCGCCACTTCATCTAATCTTTCTTTAGTACGATTTACACAAATTGTTTGCGATGTTCAGTTTATAAAATAAGCTATGAATTGTCATGGCATGATCGATATGAACAGGCAGTAAAATAGTTACAAGTAAGTTATTCTTTTTTTATAAATATTTAAGAAGCTGGTTACGCTTTAGCCAAACTGTGCTCTTGCTACATATCAAAATAATTTCAATAGAATAAATAGAATGTTGCAACTTTGCGTGAAATAAAATCGTGTTAAAGTAGGAGCGAGCATGTATAGAAAAAATTGTACTGTCCTTGGATGGGTATGGATCTCTGTTAGTTTTCTCTTATTCTTTAATGACTAACTCTGTTCAATACCACGAGTTGAACAAGGGGAAATATTTCATTATGCTGATTCTTTAGGAACAACTCAAGGGGACAACGAAGCCAATGACAATGTTTAAGAAATCAAGTATATTTAAAGAAGGGATCATAACATCAGCGCCAACCTCGAGCAACAACCACACCCTCCAAACCCACAAAGATTGGGAAGAAAGACTAATATACACAATTGCTTTATGAGTGTTTGTACCAATCTTGGCCGTTATCCCCATCCTGTTCTTGATATTTTATGTGTGGCAACGAAAACATACAAGGTATCAAACTGCTTCTTATGTTTTTACTTTTCAAAGGATTAATTCCCCTATATAAACAACAAAATAAATGCGTTATTGAATACGATGATACACGCGTATATTGCAGCCACTACACATTGCAAATCCAAAGCGAGAAAGTCAGTTCAATTGCCTTCAGGCTTCTTTGAGATCAATTATTGATGAATTATGCAAACTCTAGATGTTTGCTGACATCCAAGATGACCAGTTTTTCCAATACAACATGTACATCATACTTGACTTCTGAATAGTTTGCCATTGCAACTAGTTGAAATAATGTTACAACACCGAATCACAAAGCACAACATTGACTGGGACTCGGCAAAATGCATCACTTACAGTACTGACTATAGACAACGGCTTTCATTAGAAAGTTGGTACACCAACTTGGATCAAACCCCCTGAGCAGATCACAGCAATTACCGGCACCTTACAAACGACTTATTCACAATACAAACAAACGATCAACTAAAAACATTACACTTCAAACTAATTCACAATGACAATACACAATTGACACCCACACATTACCACTAAAAACGTCACACCTAAATCACACATCACAACTAAAAATAAAATTTTCACTTCACACTAATCCACAATGACAATACACATTTCCTGTGCACACAATACAATGACGTAAGAACCAAATAACAAATACGGCTAACCTGACGTTTACTCCTCATTTGACTCTGAAGATGACTACCGCTAAGGTTGTCGAAACGTCAGTCAAAAGCAACAAAAACAGTCCTTCTCAGGACTTTATTAACCTGGACGATCATCATTTACAAATATATAACGATACTCCCGGGTTCAAACCATTTACTTTATAACAATACCTTTTGTTAAAATGAGACTTTATAGTAGTTAGCTTAAGTTTATAGAAACTTCATCTCTGTTTTTCATATAGTGAGATGAAATGAACCTTTGTTGTCAATTCACATTGACTCCACTCCTATGATATGAAATACTTGAACCAGTGTTAATTGTAATATTAGTAACATCACCGCTACATGTGTACTTCTCTTCTTCAACCTATTAATCATGGCCACATTGTCATGCATTCAAACCAAACACTTGCCGCTACTGAAAACAGGTTTAATATAATTTCTGAGCTTTCTTTTTGCAATGAGTTATACATAAATTCTTAATCAATCGATTTCATTTCAATATACTTCAATATTAAGAAAAGCGTCTTCAATATCGCGAGGTGAAGTGGGTAACCATTTTACCTGGATGTGAGCTTGTCACCAATTTTCTGTGCCTCGCTTCGATAGTTTCACACATCCCTGGATTCATGCTTTACTAAATCCTTTCATATTTTAAGAATTATACAAAAAATTCTTTGAGTAACATATCATCGTGTAAATTCAAGATTTGACATGCTTAAATTCATAGACACAAATTTAAAGTAGCACTCCGTCCTTATTTCAAAATCATCACTACCACTGGTAGGACTATCCCTCTGATAAAGACTGACGTGGTACCTTCGGATTTTGCCGTACCTTTCACACCTTTTCTGGTTAGTGGACTAGTGCTCGTTGATAAAGTTTCCTGTAATGGTAAAGTATACACTATGTATTGTTATAAAATAAAAACAATAGAACGCGTGCAGTGATTGGTCTAGAGCCGTGTTTACAAATTTATTTTTTTTTGACTCTTAAAATGACTACCGCTAAGATTGTCGAAACGTCAGTCAACAACAAAACAAATAAATTTATATTGACACACCCGCACTCCTCGACGGCTATTACTAAACATTGAAAAAAGCTTTAATGAACTATAAAGAAACATAAACAATCCCTCTGATATTATGTTAGAAAGGTCAAACAAACAATTTAAGGCCCGTTTCAAATGTCGCATTTTAAATGCGCCGAATGCATTAAAGAAAAAAGAAAATGGGATAAAATTCCTCATTATCTTTTGTTTTAAATGCATTCGGCTCATGTAAAATGCGACGTTTGAAACAGACCTAAGGTAGTTTCGTCACGTGCATTGGGCTGTAACTTTCTTAGATTGACTGACTCAAACACAATCAGAAACAAAAACCAAAGTGTTCACCAAAGTCTAAAAGAATACAATAAAAAATCCACGCAAGTACCTGACCTGAAGCTCAAAAATGGAAAATAACGCTCACCCGGAAAACTAAACTTTCAGTGAACTAAGAACTTTGTTCCTGTTATCTGAAGCAATAAAAAACGTAAGAATGGTTTTTTATATGTTCGGGGAAGTAAACGCATGCTTGAAAATCAAGGAGAATAACAGAGGTTTAGTAAATATTCAACCAGACTGAGAAAAGAAAGTTTCATAAATCTAGCAGTCAGAGGTAAGTTCCCTAAATGTCTAGGCGACAGAGTAAGATTTGGTAAATGTTTCAATTTATGCAGTAACTCGAATGGCTATAAAATATCCCTCTGACGCCTCAAAGACGGCTTCAATCTGTGTCAATATGTTTTACATAATGAAAGATAAAGACCATAGTGCGTTTAGTGATAATTTTATAGACACCGGAGACTTTCATTTTCGCAATGTCGCAGTTGCTTCAAACATTGCAAAAACAATCTTTGATAAACGTTAAGAACATCATGTATAACAAAGGATTTAAAAACAATTAAATGCTTGCCAATGCATATAGCGTGCACGATGATGTAAATGTATACATTCTACGCAATATAAGCATGTGGGACACGTAGGTCACAGAATAGATAACATACAGAAGGGGCCACTTAGCGAAAAATGCGGTCCTAAATTTTAATGCGCATGCGCTACTCCGCCATGTTGGCAGCAAGATAAACTTGCTACACTAAATAAGGGTAGCAATGTACAACTCAAAAATCTTGGCGTTATTACTTGAAAAGTTGAAATATTTATCCTGAGACGACCAAATCAAAGCTGTGCTTTAATGGGAACATACAATCAACATATTTTTATGCTTTTTCATGTACAACCAATGTGTACAATTCTATCGAGACCTGTATGAGAAATGCTGTGCCGTGGCCGTGTGGTCAAGGTTACTCGTATTTATTTGTAAAGAACGGAAGCGGAGAAGCGCTTAACGAACGTCTTTAAATCAGAAACAAGAAGGCACAATGTGAAATTTATCAACGGACGGGCTACACTAAAAAAGATATTTCGTATGGCATTGGATTTGGTGCTTTAGAATTCAGACAAATTTAGTCATATCCCGAACACTCGATAAATGTTCATTGAGAAATTGCAAACTTGTGCAATTGTATTTAATGGCAATGCCATATTGTGTTGGGAAAATTCTTATATTGTATGATTGTAGCTAACTTCCAGATGCTCTTATCTACATGTTCCTTATATTTGTCATGTTTTAGATAATTTAAAGTATTGATTCCGTTGTAAGGAAATAAAATTTTCCTCTTGCTTCTATTAATATATATATATTGTTATTTTCGTTACATAGCTGTCGCTGCATTAATTTTCAGATTAATTTTCAAGTTAAATATGCTGCACAAATATTCAGCCACACCGTTGCTGCATCGATTTGCACATATTCATCAATTGGAGCACTACCACCATCAGCCTTGGGTACAGCCGAGTTGCTTTTCAAATTTGATTCGCTTTTCGCTTGCGTCAATAGTTCCACACTGAATTCAGCAAAAGAACAAAGAAGTGCAATAAGCAACAGCAATAATCACATTGCTTTTCTCAAAGAAGCAATGTCCTTTATCCAGGGAATCAAAGTGGTAAAAGATGGTAAAAACATCACAGGCAGAATCAAATCACTGAAGGGATGGCTTATATCTATAAAGGCCATTATCTGTCTCTGGACCTATCTTCATGCCACACATAATTTTGCGTTCTTGCTTACCAGAAGATTAAACACAGATGCTCTAGAGAATTTTTTTGGGGACAATATGCCAGCAATGAGGTAATTCTGACAATCCCACGCCAATACAATTTATCAGAGCTTTTCGAAAGATTTTTTTCAGTTCACTTTTGACCTCTTCCAAAGGAAACTGTTCTAAAGATATGGACACTCTGCTAACACAATTTTCAAAAAAAAGCCCAAACCATTTAGTATGCTTGAAAATCAAGGAGAATAACGGAGGTTTAGTAAATATTCAACCAGACAGAGAAAAGAAAGATTCATAA